TGACCAGAGGACCAAAAGCCCAAGGTCACGGCTTCTAGTCCTTGGGGTTTAATTAGCTTCATGCTGGGTCAAAAAAACACATTCTACCTTATGTGCTGAAGAACCGGACAGCATACAGGGACTGGTCCAGTTCCATTCCTAACACCTGGAAAAAAACAGTCCCAGCAGATCCCAGTTTGAAATTAGGTGACCACCAGTGTTCCCTTGACCAAGGGAGGGCAGGAGGACTGAATGGGGCCGGCCTCCCAACCTGCCGACCACTGGAAGGTGAACACATCAGCTAGCAGGAGCCCTCATGGGTGTTGTGTGAATCCCACTCCATCGCCAGCTTGCCCTGTCAGGGCTCTTTCTGTATGCGGTGAGAGGCAGCCTACCTACAGCCACCAGCCACACACTCTTTCCTAAGCGCATGCACCAAGTTCACCCGACACCAAACCCTTCCTGTCAGGAGGCCCAGCTTTCTGAACAGCTGAGCACCCTGAAGCTGTTTGTCCATTTGTGGAGCTTCATATTTATTCTTCATTTAGCCCTGTCAGGGGAGTGGTCATGGGATGGCTTCACAAAGTAGGGACGGAACTCACAGGCTCAAGGGCCCAGGAGGCCACCTGATAGGGAGCAGGAGGTGTAGAGCTTGGGCAAGGGTTCCAGTCAAGCCCATGACTTTGTCCTGCCCTGGGAACCCCTCTGCTAGTTAATCATGTGTTCCAGGGGCCACCACAAATGTCCCTGTTTCCGGGGCAAGAGTTTTCTCTGTGGCTTCGCACTATTCAGCAGTCTCATCTGAGCCTGTTTTCAGCTCCCAGAACCCCCTTAAACCAGCTTTGAAGAGAAGTGCAAATGATGTGGACTTAAGGGTCTGGCCAAGGGAAGACACCCAGGCTGAAGGAGGACACTTGGGTAAAGCAAGCAGAAAAATCCTCTGGGCTTAGAAGTGGCTCTCCTTCCAGGAGCCCAGATTGGGAAGGAGCTGGTTTAGAGAGGCTGCTGCCTTCCCTGTGGGGGCCTTGTGCTTCTTCCAGCAAATTCTGATCCCCAGTCAAGAGACAGTTGCTGCATATCCACTGGTATTAGACATCTCAGAGTTTTCACTTCCATTAAATTCCCACAATTGTCTCTGGAGTTAGAGATTACATTCTTATTTTTACAGATGAAGACATTGAGGCTCAGAGAGCTAATGTCACTTGACCCCGGTCACCAGTTGGTAAGGCTTAACTGTAGGTCTATCTCACTCCAAATCCAGAGTTCTGCCCCAACAGCCCACCTAAGCTGCCCCATGTTCTGGTTGTAGCATGTTTATCATTCCAGCGGGATATGAAGACTTGTCCACTTTTCTTCTGGGAAACTAGAAAACAGAGTTCTTTTTGGGGTCTGGGAAATGCATGCTCCCAGTGGAAGGGGTAAAAAGAGACACAGTCAAGCTACTTTCAGTTCTTCCTTTTTGCTCTTGCTCATTTGAGCTCAAAAGCAACTGTGCTTTATTGACTTAGTAGAACTCATTAAACATTTGCAAATCTTGAAGGCATTTTTAAGGGTGAACCTGGAAATGGTTTTCTCATCCTAGAAGCTCTATATGGATTAAGAGGGCTCCAGTCCCACACCTGCTACTGACCCACTATTTGACCTTGGATCCTTGATGCCCTGGAGTTCAGGAAGAGACTGAGACTAAGATGATCAAAGCATAGTCAGAAAAAGAGGAGCCTGTAGGAAACCTATGGAATATAAGGCAATAACTAAAGAGTGCATAACCAGGGCAAAATCACAAATACCCGTGGAATAGATCAGAAATCGAAATAAATCCAACCACATATAAAAACTTAACAAATTTCTCAAACAATGCATAAAGGAAGAGTTTCTTAATAAATGCTGCTGGCATGACTGGATAGGAATAAGGTCCAGACGGAGTAAAGGGTTAGGTGATTCCTTTTGAAATCATAGAAAAAAATGGTAGGAAATAGAAGAACATATTTATGAGACCTGAAGAGGAATGAAAACTATCTCAGGTCTGAAGCAAGAGAAGGAATCATAAAAGAAGAGCCCCAAAGATTCAACAATAGGAAAATAAGACATTTTTTTTACCATATTATACTGTAACAACAGATAAATACTTATGGTGATTCAAAAATTGATATTTAGGAAAACCATTAAGATCCCAACAATATGAACAGACAATTCCCTCAAGTAGAGGTTCATATAGGAAGCATGGAACCTCTGGGGATAGAAGAGATGCTCTTCAGGTTCCCCACCTGCTCTAACTTCTGGGGCCCATGGGGAGAACTGGAGAGGGGTGAGGAGGGACGCACGCTACCCCCTCCCTGAGCAGCCCAGGCAAATGCGCAGGATGCTGGTGGGGCTGGACAAACTCCAAAGGGCCTGGGGTCATGTGTTTTCTTCACCTCCAACTCTCACATAGGGCATCCTGGGCATTTAGTTGAGGGGTGACCAGAGGACCAAAAGCCCAAGGTCACGGCTTCTAGTCCTTGGGGTTTAATTAGCTTCATGCTGGGTCAAAAAAACACATTCTACCTTATGTGCTGAAGAACCGGACAGCATACAGGGACTGGTCCAGTTCCATTCCTAACACCTGGAAAAAAACAGTCCCAGCAGATCCCAGTTTGAAATTAGGTGACCACCAGTGTTCCCTTGACCAAGGGAGGGCAGGAGGACTGAATGGGGCCGGCCTCCCAACCTGCCAACCACTGGAAGGTGAACACATCAGCTAGCAGGAGCCCTCATGGGTGTTGTGTGAATCCCACTCCATCGCCAGCTTGCCCTGTCAGGGCTCTTTCTGTATGCGGTGAGAGGCAGCCTACCTACAGCCACCAGCCACACACTCTTTCCTAAGCGCATGCACCAAGTTCACCCGACACCAAACCCTTCCTGTCAGGAGGCCCAGCTTTCTGAACAGCTGAGCACCCTGAAGCTGTTTGTCCATTTGTGGAGCTTCATATTTATTCTTCATTTAGCCCTGTCAGGGGAGTGGTCATGGGATGGCTTCACAAAGTAGGGACGGAACACAGAGGGACTGGGTATCTGCCAGAGGCTGGGCCCTGCTCCTGAGCAGCTCTCTTTAAACACAAAGCACCAGGAAGAAAGACAACAGAAATAGACTTCTAATGCCAAGGGACTGGGGTAGACCCAAGGCAGAACTTACCATGAGAAATAGTTGTCCAGACTGCATTTTGGGAATTTCTTTCCTAGAATTAATTTTGTCTGTCTGGAGTGGTTTCTGGGTGGGCCTTCTCAGAAGCAGGGGATAATGCTCTTTGTGACACCCAGAACCTCCCTTCACCGGGAGAAGTTAGATTTCATAGGCCACCTACTAATAATATTAGGTGCTACACGTTCCCTCTGTGCCCCTGAGTTTCAAGTTCTTCCTACTTAAAGTTTGCTTCCATTCACCCAAATAGTGTGTTTTAAAATGTAAACATACAGGGACAGGCAAAGGAAATCAGCCAAATGAGAAAGACACAGAGAAAAAAGAACGATACACTTTGTTCTAGGTTCTGATTCTAAATCTGGTGGGAGGTGTGAAGGACTGGCAGCCTGCTGGTCGTGGTGTCAGTGGCAGCAGGAGGCTCCCCCTGCCTCAGGGCAGCAAGCCAGCTGCTGATATACTCTTAGGAGCCAGAGGGAGAGTGGGTGGCACTCGGAAGCCAAGGCATAGATGCACTACCCGACTGGGACAGGAGCCAGTGGACGCTCCGCAAACCACAGCCAGACTTCATGTGCTGGGGATAATGTCCCCAAGCCCCCATGGCCAGGTCTGCCATGTCTTTCAAGTTGTAATTCCAAGTCTTTGGTTCCACTTGGGCATTTGCATTCAGCTGGCTCCACCAGTTGAACTTGTCTGAAGCCAAAGTTGTCATTTTTGCCAACCCCCGACCCTCACTCTGACCTTTCCTTGTCCTAGTTCAGAACCTCAAAATGATACGTGGTTCACCTCATCTATTCAGGTCCAGAAAGACCTTCCAGTTCCCATCGCCATGCGCCTCTTCCTTTCCGTTCTTACTGTCAGTTTCCCAGTCAAGGCACCTGCGTCCATTTGCTGCAGCATGCTCCCTATTGGTCTCTCTCATGCAGGCAATCCTTCTCACCCCCATCCCACCATTACACAGGATCTTCCCAAAGCATTGCTTGGATCCTATAACAAATCTGCTAAAAAAAACTTTCAAAGGCTTTCCCTGACTACAACAGGATAAGGTCTGATCCAGGTTACTTTTTCAGCTTTATCTCTGCAACCCAACACATGCCCAACCAGACTGGTCTCTTAAAGTTGTACCATCTTCAGAGTCAGTCATTCTCACTTGCAGGGCCACTGTGTTCACTATTCCCCCACAACACTCCTCCTCTCCTTTTGCATCACGAAAAGGAAGAGGGAAAGGAAATACACAACATCACTCAACATGAGTACCAAGCAAAGAAGAAAACCATTTCCTTGCTGAAGGTCAAATGTCTATCTTCCAGGTCTAGAGCTGGCATTCCCAACTCCATTCCCCACATTGCAAACAATACTTCCCCAGAACTCCCCATCCCTGCCACAAAATTAGAGTAGACAGCTTCCAAAAGAGCCCATAGTATGAGTCACCCTCCAAGGATGGCAGAGATGGCAAAGATCTTTGATGGTGGAGGTAGAAAAGGAGAAGGGATGTTAATTTAAGCCCTACCCCCACCTCCCCAGACCCAACTGCAATCCCCTGGCATATAGAGAATGCCCCAGGCTCCTGTACATATTGTCCAGTTTCTACAAGGTGTAAACCCACCTTTCTGAAGTAGGATAGGGAGGAGGAAGGAGGGAAAGATCTCTCAGGGGAACCCACCGCCTACTCCTGAAACCTGGGGAGCAGTGGCGACAGCGCCGCTCAACCTCAGTGTTGCACTAAGCCACGCCCCCACCCAACGTCACCATCTCAGGAGTGAAGAGCTAGGGAAGCCCACGCAAGCAGGGAGACTGATTGTGGGAAAGGCTGGAAGGAAGTGGGGAGATTTAACTGCTCACATACCTGATCAAAGAGGACTTTCCAGTGCTGGTAGAGAGGGAGGCCATGCAGGACAGGAGGAAGAGGAGAGAAAGAAACACACATCACCAAGGACTCTGCAGCCCCTTGATGTTTCTGACATAGCCTCCAAGCTGCTGCCCAGGTTCAGGGACCCACCACGATAGACCAGGGAAAATCTGAGAAGAGGTCCCCGAATGAGTCTGCACAGAGTAAAGGGAAGGAACTCAGGGTGGGGAGGCAGGTGGAGTGTCCCCCTTTTGGAGACAGGAAGGCAGAGGGACGAGCAGAAGAAGGGTAATTCTCAACAATTACTCAATAAAGGCATCCAACTCTGTCCAAATGCCTCTAATAACTTCCGCTGCCAAAAAATTATGTCCATGTCTACTCTCAGGCCTGGGAATGCACTATTCCATCAGACTTGCTGCAGTGGTCTCACTCTGCTGGGGCCAGCGACCCCTCCTAAGGAAACTCACCCTCTGCATAAGCACTAACATTTTGCCTGCATTTTTTTTTCTGGGTGGGGTGGCGGGGTCCCCGAATACGGTGAAATTCACCCAGTCTCCTCCAAGGCTAAGCCTGAGTGGTAAGAACAGGAGATTCCATCGGGGCTTTGGGGCCAGAAGCAAGTGAGAGGTTTAACCACAGGGAGCCAAAGAGGAGGGAAGATGTTCAGCTCCCTGGGGCACATTCAGACTTTTGGTCTCAGGTTTGGAAGGTTGGAAGGCGGCTTCACTTCCCTTTCCCCACCCTGCAGGAGGGACGGGGTAGGGCAGAGCGGTTGCCCAGTTTTTTCACCTGTTTGCAGATTAACCCCGGGAGGGAGAAGCTTAGGAAACTCCAGTTCCCAGGACTCCCCAGTGCGGGCTCTGGGGATGGCTCCCGGGACCGGAGGGAGGGAGGCTGGAGCAGCAGATGGCAAGGAAGCCCTCTGAGGCAGCCCCTCCCCACCCTCGCCCAGGGGACCGTCGCTGGCACCGTCTCGGTCCGAGACTCCTGAGCCCCCTTCTGGGAGCAAAACCTCTCCAGCACTCCTTCCCTCTCTCTTCCGGCTGGGTTCAGGACTGGGGCCAGCTTGAATTTCAGTGAGTGTCGCGACAGGGCAGGTGCCCGGCAGGAGATAATCCAGGAGGGAAGAAGGGGGCGGCCTGACCAGTCAGCGCTGCCGCGTTCCGGGGACCCTGCGGCGCCCGCTCCTTCCCAGGCTCTGGGAGCCCGCAGGTCGCGAGGGGAGGGGAGGGGATGGAGTCAGTGCTGTGACGCGGCCGCCTCTGCGGGAAAACGCCGTGTCCTGGGCACTGCACCAGCCGCGGGGAGGGGGCTCCGGCGACCGACGGGGCCCCAGCGCGGCGGTGGGGATTGGGTCCCGCAGGGAAGCCGTGGGAGCCCGAGGTAGGGGATGGCGTGCGCACTTTAGGGGGAGCCTGGTCCCTCCGCCCCCTCCCACCCGCGGGGACCCGGCCAATCCGGGGCGCTCCCGCATCCCCTTGAACCCTGCAAGTTGCCTCGCGGGGGAGAGACGGGGACAGCTCCCCTCTAAGGGCCCCCCAGAAAGTTTGCCTGGGCGGGGGAGGGGCACTCACGTCCTCCGGCGCCACGGGCGGCTGCTCCTCAGCCTCGGGTTCCAGCTCCTCGATACGCTCCGCCTCGGCGTTGGCGGCCACTGCGGGGCCCGGGCTGGGGTGCTCGCCCATGCCGAAGCGGGGTCCAGGGACGCCGGGTGGCTGCAGGGCTCGTCCCGGGGCGCCGGGCTAACTTTGCGCCGCGCCGGCGGCGCAGCTCCGGGAGCTCTGTGCGCGCCGCGCCGCCTCCGCGCCAGCCCCGCCGCCCGCGCCCGCCCCCATGGCTCCGGCCCCCGCGCCCTGCCTTGCCACCCTGGTCCCACCCGGCCCCTCCGCCGCTAAACTTCTCGGCGCTTGCGGCCCCGCCGCCTTCCGCCTCCGTCCCGGGCCCCACTCCCGGCTGCGAGGCGAGGGCGCCCTTGGGCCGGCTCCGGCCCCGTGGCTCCCCGCGCTCCCTCCCGCTTCCCGCGCCCCCGCTCTGCGCCCGAGTCTCCTCCTCCCCGCGAACTCCTCGGGGGCGGTGCGCGCGCGCGGGGGCGGGGCTGCTCCCGGGGCCTGCGTCCCCCTGCTCTCGCCCTGGGCGCCACCACCCGGGCCAATTCGGTCAGAGCGGCGAGGCCCGGGGACGGATGGGAGAGCTGCGGCGGGGTTAGCGGGAAGTGGGCTGCGCGGTCGCCGGCCCCATCACCACCAGCCTCCACCCCGGGCCCGGGTTTGACTTACGCACTGGGCCGAGGGCTGTAGTGCCCACTTCCCGAGACCTATCGGGTTAATGGTCACTTGGAGAGAGGGCAGAGGCGTGAAGGAGGCAGGGACAAGGTTTTCACTAAGTTGGCAACGTCGGGGTTACCTGGGAGTGAACTGGGTGGGATGCTGAGAGGACAGCATCCGCCCCCCCCACTTTTCCATCTCTCTTGACTTCGATCTCAGATTCTGGGGCGTCTCACTAGCGTCTCACTAGGCCTAGTAATTTAGGTTTGGGAGAAGTCCGATAGGGGAGTCCTGAACCCCAAACCGTAAATCTTGCCCTCCCTGCATCCAGAGCTGTATGAAAGAGCCCTGGCTTCATTTGACCAGGTTGACAAAGGTAAGCTCAGGGAAGTGCCCCAAGTGGAAGAGGGGAGGTGAAGAAACTAAAGCAAGTAGGAATGAAGTTAGAGCAAAGGAATAGAGAATCTTTTCAAGAAAAAAAAAAAATGGTGCTGTTTCCCTGTAAGAAAGGCCTGCCAGGTGAGATGTGTCCCAGAAGCACAGGCTCCACCTGTTAAGTGGCACCAGTGGCCAGCTGGGATAGTGCCTGCCTGCCTCAAGAGGCTCAGGGACTCACTCCTGGTGATATCTCACAGGCAGTCCCTAGCCTGCACCAAGGTGGTACCTTTCCACACTCTTCCTCTTCCCACCAGCCACCCAGCCACCCACCCACTCACTGGCCTTTGCTCCTCTCTTTCCCTCTCAGAACGGGAGCCTCTTTCCAGTCATGAAGTCTGCAATTAGGAATAATGCAAACACAACCCCAGGCCCAGGATCCAACCTGTGACCATCTCACCTGACAATGACTGTCCCTCTTAAACAGAAGAGGAAATTAACTACATTCTAATTAGGTGAGTTTGCTACAGACACCAATTTTCATTTCCGTTTCAGGAAGTGTGATCATTTCAACTATTTTTGTTTCTCACCACCCTCCCCCAATCCCTACTCTACTAACAAGTCAAAATCCTGGCAAGATTTCCTTGTAAATAAAAGTGTCTGCATAGGGTGTGATTTTGAAAACAGCATTCAGAGGACAGAAGAGAGGCTGACTTCTTTATGGAAAGAAGCCCAGAAGGACAAGAGGCAGGATGGGGCCCTGAAACGTCAGTGTCCCTGCCTCCTCCCATCCCCCTCATATCATTTACCTATGTGACCTGCATGGGTGCTGGCTGTATTACATCTCTGGGACTGAAGAAGTGAGCCAGGATGCATGGTTGGAGGGGACTGGAGATGGAGAAGGGCTCAGAGCAGGGTTTGCCACTCTGCCAAGACGCTGAGCAGTCCTGGGCAATATCCCAGTTGCCTTTTGATTTCTGCCTCTTCTCCAGGTCAGGGACAGGTCTTATCAACATATCCAGCTCTATTAGCCCTCAAGTGGAAGGGATCTTGGCAAGCTCAGCTCAATTTCCTGAACATGTACTGAGCTCCTACTAAGTGCCAGTGACAGAACTTTGGGAATACAGAGATAGATAAGATCCAGACTCTGACCTCCAGAAACTTTAATTTGGGGTAATAGCCAGGGAAGTCCAGGGTTTATAGAAACACAAAGGAGGGAGGTCCTTTTTGGTCCAAGAAGGTTTCCCAAAGGAAATGCCCCCAGAACCAAGCAAAGCAGGAAAGCTGATGGGGAGGCATTCCAGGCAGAGGGAACAGCATGGGCAAAGTCTGGGCATGAAGCAGTGGGGTAGGAGAGGGGAACTACAAGCAATTTGGCGTGGCTGGAAATTAGAGCAGTGTGCTCAATGTGAAGAGCCCAGCCCAGAGGGGAGGGTTTGAAGTTTCATGAGAAAGGCTTGGACTTTACCTAAAGACAGTGGGAGCCATGGAAGGATTGTGAGCATGAGAGTAATATTTTCAAAGATCCCTCTGGTGTGGAAGATAGGAGGGAGGTTGGTCTGAGCATAGGGAGATAGGAGGGACTGTCCAAGAAGAGGTCATGAGGGCAGTAGCAGTTAGAATAAAGGGGAGAGGGCAGGTCTGAGCAGTATCCAGAAGGGTATCATGTTCCTCTTTCTGCCTAAGAACATTTCATCCCACTTTGGCAGACAGTGTTCCCAAAACTCTCCTAGGAAAGCATCCCTAACCTTTAGCAGAAGCCTCCTTCAGGACATTGCATCCCTTTCCCAGGCCCCTGCTGGAAAGAGAACACCATCTTGACTTAGAGACAGCTGTGACATCCAACATCCTCCATAAACCTGAGGCCACACTCTCACTTTTGCCTTCAGTGTTGCTAGCCCATTCCACCCTGAGCCCCAGAGGAATCTGCAGATAGGTGCAACCCACTCCCCAGCGGGCAGGGAGACATGGGGATTGGGGCCCAAGGCCTGAAACCTCTGAGGGATGGGAATGGCCAGTCTATCTGTTAGCTTTTGTTCCACTCTGACCTAAGACAGTATGCATGCTGGCACATTCTGTGCCCTATTGGACACAGAGGAGAGGATGGGCATGGTGCTTACTCACTTTCACTGAACAGCTACCATGGCCAGGCACCTGTAGATGCTTTGGGGTGACTGTACACAGGCCCTGCCCTCAGAGAACCACAGGTCAAGTGGGAAAGGACAGCAAACACGAGGTGAATGCATTTATACCCTGCTCTTCATTCTGTAAGCACTCCACACCCATGACCTCTTTTAAAGTGTCTAACCAGGCACCCTAAGTCAATGCAGAACAGGATAAGAGCCTGGGAGAGAGCAGTCTGAACTCCAAAAGTCAAACTCAGTTAGTTCAGAGGGCAGTGAGATAAGCCTTGAAAGATGTGGCAGCTTTGGGGTAGAAAGGGGAGGGGTTTCTGGGTGGAGGGACCCACTGCAGCAAAGGCACAGAGAAAGGAACACCACCAACTGTAATGGGAGCACTTCGGTAGGTGAGCACAGAGTGGGCATGGCCAGGTAGGTGAGAACCATGTTGAAAAGGTCCTTTAGTGCCAATCTGAGGAGGCTGGACCTTGCTCAGTGGGTAACAGAGAAGCGGTGCTGGCTTCTAACTGGAGCGGCATTTTAGAAAGATTAGGTTGGCAGCAGCTCAAGAGTGCAATTCAACTAACGTGGTGAGAGTGTCCATTATTTGCCAGACCCTGGCCAAGGTGCTGAGAATACAAAAAATAAGACCCAGACCCTGCCCTCCTGGGAGAAAATTAGATAATCCTTTAATTACAGCCCAGAGGGAGGAGGGAGGAAGGAGGAAGGAGGAAGGAGGAAGGCAGAGGGAAGAGCTGTTGCAGGACTGAGTCTTGAGGATGCACCTACCAGGAGAGGGAGGAGTGTTTTAAGGAGCCAATGTTCTGAACCTAGGGGGCTACAGCGCCAGGCTCCCAGCCCACTTGGTCCTTTCGGTTCTTCTGGAGCTGAGAGAGGGAGGCTGAGTGAGGGAAGCCGTGGAGTTTGTTTGTGGATAATGTGAGCTAATGAGAAGCCAGGGAAGAAACATTAAGGGCTGTAATTACCTCTCAAAGCAAATGACAGTGTCGAGCAGGGGGCGCTAAATGTGGGTGATTTTTCTTCAGAACCTCTTCTGTTTGGGCCTCTTTTTCAACAAGAGTTTCCCATTCTGATGTCCCCCCAGCCTGGCCCACATCCTTCAAGGCCCTTTTTCTTCCTAAAGCAAACCTAAACTGATCCTTACAGCTCCTCTCTCCATGTGCAGCTCCAATCTTCTGAGAAACCTGCAAACAGCCCTGAGCTGCTGCCGTTTGCCTACCTGAGATGAAGACATGAGTTATTTTTGACTGAGATCCAAGTTCCAGCCTTGAATTCTTTTGTCTTCCAGGAATCCCCCAGTCATGTTTGAAGTCTGCAAGTCCAAACAGCAGACACAGCTCAGAGAGGAGACCGCCACTTATCCAACCACCCTCCATCCCCAGCTCCAGAATTCTTCCCTTATTGCCCGCTGTCTTTCAGATCAAACAGCACAACACCACTAAACGGATTTTTCCCCTTTCGTCTCTTCCTTTCTCACTGCAGGGCCCCCAAGTTTCCAAGTAACTTAAATCATTACTGAAAGATGTCTAGGTTCACAGACACCAACCCCGTTCAAAGAGAGCCATGGGCACCCAAAAGGGAAGCTCACAAAGGCACAGAGGAAACATTCCCAGGTCCAAGGTTTAGCCAACCACCTACTCAGGGAAACGATCAGCTGCTTTGCTGGGTCTCATCTTCCTCTCGGCCATCTTCTTGGGGCTTGTCTGTCCCTGGGGTTCTGTTTCTGGATTCTCTCTGGGCCTCCAGTACTCTATGTGACTTTTGGTAATACTAAAGGTAGGTCCCCTCTCCTCAGTGCACAGCCAGTTCAGTTGTGCCTCTCTAATGAAGGCTTCTCCCCCAGGAAGGCTTTCCCCAGCTCTGGAGCCCCAACAGACCACTCCCTCCTCTGAGTCACTTTTTTCTTTTGACCTTGCATTATCTCATCTAAGTTTTATTTTTCCTTACATGAGAATGTATATTCCTTGAAGGGGAAGATATGGCTCATTCAGTTTTGCATCCATCACAGCCTGCAACACTGAACACCATAGGAGCTGAACAAACGTCGGTTTAATGAGAAACGGAGTGTCTCTCTTGCTATGACACCAAGTCTAATTGCATAGTTATTACTTTCAGCCCCCAACAAAAAACAAGCTTTATTTTATGGAGAAAAGATTCTCCTGCATAATAAAAATGCAGTTCTGTGCCTGCTGCCTTTCTTTCAAAGCACTTCCATATTTTTCATTCCATTGCATCCTCAAAAAACCAGCCTTTTCTGAGGTAAGCAGAACAGGGCAGTTGCCTCCATTTTACAAATGGGCCCAGAAGCAGCTTAATTTCCCATTTCTTTCACCAAATTTCCTGTTTTCAGAGTGAAAGACAAAGCCCCTGATGTGGTGAGTGCCGTTGGTCCTGGCCCCTGCCTGCAGGAACTTTCTCCCAGGGCAACTGGGCAGGGCCCCCATGGGGTGCCCAAGTGGGGCTTGTCCTAATGTGGGCTGGTAAGAGCAGAGGCTCTGGGGGATGTCTCTGGCTTTAGAGCAAAAGCCATTGGTCTGTTTATCTGCTTTGATTTCCTTAAGGTTCACGTATAATCAGTGTCCCGTGGGAGGAGGAATGGTTGGCTTTCATTCACCACTGCACAGCGCCAGGCATGGGGTATTCAACAAATACCCTTGTGCAGACAGAAAGGAACAGTGAATCTGGGAGGGCCATGGCAAACCTTTCCCTTGGAGTGTACTCCCCATGAGGGCAAGAACTTGGTTTGGTTCACTTATAGCAGTATCTTCAACTTCTAGAACAATGCCTTGAACATAGAAGGTCACAAAAAGTATTTGCTCAATGAACAAAGTCTGTCCTATTTTACTACTCCAGGCCTAGGGAAGGCCTCCCAGAGGTCAGAATTTCCAGAAAGTCTGCCCAGCATCTGGCCTCATAGGACTTCCTCAGCCTCTTCCGGAGAAGAATGTTGATTAATCTGGCCCCTCCTCCAGCAAGGGGTTATGGTGAAGAATGTCTTTATTCACTGCTGCACAGGGCCAGGCATGGGGCCATGAGGCAGGCTTTCTGATGATGAGGACGAAGCAGAGGCAGAGTCCTGGAGCTCCATATCCAGCATGGCGAGAGGCCACAGCACTAGGGAGACAGTCCTGAACACCAACGTGGCAGCAGGAGCTGCCCCGGAATGCGGGGCAGAGTAGTGAGACAGTAGACACTCAAATCTGTTTCCTCCACTCTCAGCCACACAGTCCAAGTGAGGCTGTGTGAGGCCTTCCCAGTGCACGTTGTAAATACCATCTGTCACAGTGCCTGCCCAGATGCGGCCTTCCTCCCTGGAAGGGGGGCATTCTTTATTATCCCTGCACAACGCACCCTACCTAAATGCTGTGCCACCAAGAGAGGGAAAGAAAACGCTGGAAGAGTCGAGGACTCCTGCGACCTGCCTCTCATCAGGAGCTGGTTAAGAGGGCTTGGCCATCATCTGTCTGGGGAGGAGCTTAATGCTCAACTGTCCTGGGAATTACCAGGCTGACATTTTCATCCTCGTTCTGCCACCAGCTTGCTGTGTGACCTTGGATAAAGCACCTCGACCCTGTGAACCTCCATTTTCTCATCTGTAAATTCAGAGGTCAGACTAGATGACCTGTGACCTCTCTTCCAGCTCTAAAATTCAGTTGGTACCACTAGAACCCTTCTTGCTCCTAAGGCTTGCCCAGAAATCTATGCGTTTCCTATTAGCCCTTCCACCCAGGCTGGACAGGGAAGTAAGAGGTCAGGATGTGATTCCTTAGTGCTTGCAAGAAGGTCCAAAGGTCAGTGGACCACGGTTCTTGTCCCAGCTCTGTCCCTATTTAGCCATGTAACTGGGGAAGGCATAGTTTCCTAGACTCAGTTTTGTCTGTTGTGAAACAAGTGGGTGGGACTAGACTTCAGTAGGAGAATCCATCTCTAAATCTCATGATCTCTGATTTTCCTTTCCAAAACACTGTCAATAAAATCTTTGCACACTGAGGCTCCAAACACATAGATGAATGAGACATAGTCTCTGCCCCCAATCAGTTCTAAGACAGCTGAGAAGACAGGCTAAAAAAACCCTATCACATTGTACCTGTAGAGATATATGCAAACCACGTGGTGGTGGAAAGGGGGTCCAAGGAGGTAATGCTGGAGCTGAGTCTTAAAAGACCAAGAGGAATTTGCTTGGTGGATGAGGCCTGATGCGTTCAAGATGGAGGGAACTGCATGTACGAAGGCAGAAAGGTGTGAATCTGCATAGAAACTGCCTGCTTGTTGTTAAGTGATCATGACATTCTGGGAGTCTGCACAGACTGCTTTTGCTCTTACCCTTCTGGAACAATCCAGTACTCCCTGGATGGGGGGTGAGGGGACTTATGGTTGGTGGCTCAGCTTGGCTGCCCTGTCGATGAAGCACATCACCAGGGAGATGAGAGACTGACCAGAGTCTCCCCTCCATCTCCTGCCTTTATATGTTCTTTGAATTAGAATCAGTGAAGCAGGCTGGAAATGGGGGGCTGGTTCAAGTGGCCTCAGGGTGACCCACAATTCTCCAGCCTTGCACACCATCAGGCTGGGTCAGAGGAGGAAAGTGGCTTTGTGCAAAATTGGGCCCAGCAGCTGGCTGGCGTGGCTAGTTCAGGTTTGTGGCCTCCCGTGTGTGGCCAGAGCATGTGATCTGTCCTACAGCTGTGGCAGCCTGTTGTGGCTCCTCTAGGAGTTGTCCAAGTCCTCTGCAGAGAGATGGAGGTAACCTGTCCCTTCTCTGTGAAGGATGTCCTGCAAGGGAAATGTGGCCCCCACATCTCAATCTGGGTGCTGCAGCTCTGGTCTGCAGCTCACATGCCTGCTATGCATACTCCAGGATACACAGAACAGCCAAAAGGCGACATCCAAAACATCCGTCAGCTGTGAGCAGCCTCACAGGCTGCCAGTCAGGGAGTTAACCAGCTCAGGAAAAGCCTATGAAGCCTCAGTGAGCACTCCACTGGCTTGGCTTGCTGCAATAATTCATATCCACCAAAAAGGGGCTGCAAGTCAGGGAAATACCTGAAACACTGAAGGAACAGGGATGTTGGACAGAGGGTTCCTGGGGCGCAACTGTATTTGCAGAGGGAGTTCCTTTCATCAGAGAGCAAAGGCGCTGGCTGACAGCTCATTCATTATCCTAGGGTTCCTTCGGAGGAGGGGGTTGGCTTACAGCACACCCATGCTCTCCTCTCTTCCCAGAGCCCTGAAGCTGAGATTGCCTGAGGCAGTGGCATTTGGGATTGGGTCTCTTCAGGCACTCTGTCTCTTTAGACACCTGCCACTTGTATCTTCTTTCCCAGCTTAAGCCAGTAAATCCATTCTCCCAACTGCCAGCTGTCATTCTCTCTCCTTAGGATAACTGACCACATTTATTCAATTACACAGCTTGAGCTCTTATGATGGGAGATCTTGGTTGTGTGGCCAGGGCTGAATATGAGGCAATGGGGACGATGCTGGGGGTGGGTTTGAAAATACGAACAACTGGAAGGGCACTTGAAACTATTTGCTACATTAGCACAGAATTTTTCAAGAACCCACTGCTTTTGTCTGATAATGCATGTGTCCACCTTTGTCTTCCTCCAAGAAACTACAGATTGGGGGCAGTAGGGGCTCTGTCCGCCTTGGCTTTGCTGCGTATCCCAGGTGGATTGGTGGTCACAGCCTGAATCACACAGATGCTCCCAAAAACCTTGGTCATAGGGCAGACCAAGTGAGGGCGAGTGGACAGGCAACAAAAGGCATCACTCCTGCGGAGCCCCAGTGACGCCCTATTACAAGTGCCCCCTGGCCTTCCCTGCAGAAGGACATCATGGACACCAAAGACAGCAGGCTGGGCATTGTGAGGGTGCCTGCTTATTAGGGGACCTGTGCTCATTTGTCCATTTGTTGTAACTTCTGTGACCTCCATAAGGACCAGATGCCTTTGTAATTGCCTCACTGTATCTTCTAGTACTACGCTGTTGGCGTGGTATCTAGGAGATTAGTGGAAAATATACATATTACTTATACAGACCTCCATTTGCATCTGGTAGGATAACCTTCAGCAAGTTAGCTCGCTTAGGCTCTCAGACTCAGTTTCCTGTGGCTTAAAGGCGGCCAGTATGACACTTGTTGCTAGGATGTAGGTGAAAGGACAGGATAGTGCCAGGCACAGAGTAGCTCTTAGTAAGCATCAGCTCCCTCCCTTTCCCCCCAGATACTCAATACATGGTGCTGAATAAATGAATAAATTATTTCAGAGATGAATACAGCTTGGCATATTTCTTGGTTATATTCACATTCCAAAAAGCCCATATATCGCAGTTGTTTAAAAAGAAAAAAAATCCAACACCAAGTAACCAAATTTGCAGTTTATACCAGGAGGCAGCCACCCACCCTGTGGAGGGGAAGTCATTTTTGAACAGATGGATAAGTACCTCTGCTTACTTTTAAAAGAAAAATACAAAGAGATTACCTTGGGAAACAAGACCAAAGGACTCTGTGTTTGACCTCTTTCATTTCTCCCCTTCACAAAAGAGACACACAGTTGGTGGCTAATAAATGCACCCCAAAGGCCTACCCTTCCACCATGCCTGGGAGTTGCAAGACTGGCTGGGAACCACATGAAGTCCTGGAGCCACAGTGTCCTCTAGTGGAAAAGAACAGCCATAACACCCCTCAGAGTTGACAAGACACAAAGCCACGCTTTAGGACAGGCAAGTTCCCTAAAGTACCCTGGATCAGCCCCATAGGGCAGACCTCCATGTCTTCGTGACTTGGAAATAACAAACAAACCATACGTTCTCCAGAAAATAGTTGTCTGAATATACTTCTCAGCAACAGCCACTGCAACAACATTTGTTCTTTAAAATTCATTAGGCATCGATTAACGGAGTCTAGGCAATGATTCTAGGCTGCTAAGATCACAAAAAGGAACCAGAAATTCACTGCCTCTGATGGAAGCACACTGCACCACCTATGAAGGATTTTTGCCACCTGAGTCTGATCAAGTCTCTAACTCTCATCACCAACTTATAGGAAACAGATTGGTAGCTAATGAATTAATAAATTTATGGAGGAGTATGTTGAATGACACCACAGGGTTGTGATCAGAAAAATCCAGACCATGTAAAACTCTACAGGCCAAATGACCTGATTTCTTCAGCAATAAATT